TTCACTATATCCGGTCTCCCCCGCACCCTGCATTCACTATATCTGGTCTCCCTGGACCCTGCATTCACTATATCTGGTCTCCCCGGACCCCGCATTCACTATATCCACTGTCCTCGGACCCTGCATTCACTATATCCGCTCTCCCTGGACCCTGCATTCACTATATCCGCTCTCCCCGGACCCTGCATACACTATATCCGGTCTCCCTGGACCCTGCATTCCCTATATCCGCTCTCCCCGGACCCCGCATTCACTATATCTGGTCTCCCCGGACCCTGCATTCATATATCTCTCTCCCCGGACCCTGCATTCACTATATCCGCTCTCCCCGGACCCTGCATTCACTATATCCGCTCTCCCCGGACCCGCATTCACTATATCCTCTCTCCCCGGACCCTGCATTCACTATATCCGCTCTCCCCGGACCCCGCATTCACTATATCCGCTCTCCCCGGACCCCGCATTCACTATATCCGCTCTCCCCGGACCCTCCTTGGAATTTGAATAAATCAATTGGAAAACTGCTAAACTATGCGGTTGCTTCTTCCTCTGTCTACACATAAGTGGTCACCACCGTCCTGCATAGAGGACAGAGCCATCCATCCTTCTGGGAGCGGCACTAAAGCCTTGGTGAAGGTGGCTCAGAGGCTGAGCTTCACAGTGGACTCCTTTATGGAGTTTTAGTTATTTCTGACTTTTATTGTGATTCACAGCTGGTTCTGTTGGAGAGAAATATGTTACTTGGAGTGTATTTTTACATTTTTGCAACACATTGCCAATAAATACACAGAGTGTTGAGCGTGGAATATTTAGTAGCCAGGAAATGTCACGGATGGACTTATTGCCCAGGTGGCCACCTATCACGGGACCACGCTTGGAGTCACTGAGCTCCTGAGAGCGACCCATTCTTTCACCAATGTTTGTAGAAGCCGTCTGCATGCCTAGGGGCTTGATTGTATACACCTGTGTCCATGGAGGGGATTGGAACACCTGAATCACATGATTGGGAGGGCGGGGCCAATACTTTTAGCAATATAGTGTATGTAGTGCCGCAAATGTCCCATTGCTAGTACAGGCGTACCTCAATTTACAAATTTAATACTTTCTCCAGGACATTTCGTATTGTGAAACATTTGTAAACCGAAACACACTTTGCCATAGGAATGCATTGAAAACCAATTAATCCGTTCCGGAGGTCAGAAAAAAGTAAAAAAAAAAAAAAAAAAAAGTCGCTATCACTATAGGTCAGTGCTGGTTTTTAACCACTTCCAGTCCGGACACTTTCACCCCCTTCCTGTCCGGACACTTTCTCCCCCCTTCCGGTCCGGACACTTTCCCCCCCTTCCGGTCCGGACACTTTCACTTTCCCCCCCTTCCGGTCCGGTCCGGACACTTTCACCCCCTTCCGGTCCGGACACTTTCACCCCCTTCCTCTCCAGGCCAATTTTTAGCTTTCAGCGCTATCACACTTTGAATGACAATTGCGCAGTCATGCAACACTGTATCCATATGAATTTTTTAGCATTTTTTTGAGACAGATAAAACTTTATTTTGGTGGCATTTATTCACCGCTGGGATTTTAATTTTTTTTTTTTTTGCTATGTAAATGAAAAAGTCCAAAAATTTTGAAAAAAAGTGTTTTTCTTATAAAATTTAGCAAATAATATTTCATCATAAATCTTGGCCAAAATTTATTCTGTTATTTTTTTAGTAAGAAAAAAAAATAACCCAAATTAGTTTATAACCAAAAATTATAATTTGTAAACATTTTTTTTTTTCCTTTTTTTAATATTGTTTTTTTTTTACGTACGGTCACCCTAGCAGTACAGTGTCACCATGGTGACACTGTACTACTTGTGGGGATTTTTTTTTTTTTTTACACTCATTAAGGCTGTAAAAGCAATCATTTCTCCTCTCTAGCTGCATTCTTGCAGCCATTGAGAATTACTGTGTGAGCTGTGATTGGTCACAGCTTGTCACATGGTACAAAGCTGTTGTGAATAGCCTTGTACCATGTGATCTCTGTGATCATTCGCAGATTTCACACGTAGTAAGCAATGATGTCAGAAGTGACATCTTGCTTACTACTCTGCATGTGATCACTGATTGGCCAATCAGTGATCACATGATCAGGACCATTCAGAGAGGTCCTGTACGACGATTGGTGGTCCACTGTGTCCAGAGGACACAGCAGGCACCAGAGCGCAGTGCTGCGTGCTCCCAGGGAGGGCGCACAAGCAGGGGGTGGGGAGGCCATTTATAAACAGCCACCCACCCCTGCACTGCCGCCGTCCGGCCGTTTATATACAACCGCCGGACGGGAGGTGGTTAAATGTAAAACATAAGTTGTACCTGTTTATCTGCGGTCTTCTCTTCTCTAAATCCAAACCTCAGAATTTATAAAGCTTGTTTGAGTGTTCAGAAAGCAGGGGGCAGGGAGTTGATGTTACATGGTTAGTCTGGCTGAAAAAAAGACAAAAGTCCATCCAGTTCAACCATTAAAAAAAAAAGTTATAATCCTACACCCACAGGTGATCCAGAGGAAGGCAAAAAAAAAAAAAACCCCAGTAAAACACGATCCAATTTGCTCCTGCGGGGGAAAAAAATCCTTCCGGATCCCCCGAGAGGCAATCGGATATTTCCTGGATCAACTTTACCTATAAATGTTGCACTCTGAAATACTCAGTGACAGCTGATTGGAGGGAAGGAACACCTTCCCCCACCCCGGCACAAAGGAACAGAGCTGAAGCTGTCAATCACAGGCTGTGTGCTGAAGATCCCGCCCCTGCAGGGACGGACTGATAACTCCTCATGGGGCCCCCGGGTAATAGGGGATCATGGGGCCGTGTCCTCGCCCACACCCAAAAAAGCCTATGAAAAAGCCAAGGAAAGGCACCAGGAGCATCTCATGGGGCCCCCTACTGACCCTGGGCCCTCAGGCAGTGCCTGAGTGCTCGAATGGTCAGTCTGCCCCTCCTCCCGTCACCCTTTTATCTCTTGGTGTCAGAAAACCGTATCAGATGTGATCCATGCGGATTTCAGAGGAAGGAGGCAGCAGACAGAAGTGACTTAGTGCTCTGGATTGGGACAAGTACACACTATAGAGGGATGTGCTTTGTTCATATTTCATGTCAAGTTTACAGTCACTGTGTGTATTATTAGTTGCATCCTTAAAAGTGCCCAGGCAGTGGTAATTTGTTACTTTTCCTCCAGTTATATGGCCCTATCACAGTGCGGACTTTCAAATGGCAGGCTGGAAGAAGTACCAATGGACTACAAGTGCAGTGAAGTCACAGCATTTGTGCTCTGTTGAAAACTCCAGTCCCCCTGCTGCAGTGGTAGATGGGACTTGTAGTTTGTTTTGTTTTTTTCCCATGCACAGATCTATGAATGACAGGAGCCAACAGGGGTGGGGGGGGGGCATGGATTCTGATCAGGACGACCATAAAATAGAGCAGGGGTGTCAAACTGGCAGCCCTCCAGCTGTTGCAAAACTACAAGTCCCATCATGCCTCTGCAATTGGGAGTCATGCTTGTAACTGTCAATCCTGCAATGTCTCATGAGACTTGTTTTTTGGCAAAAGCTGGTGAGCCGCCAGTTTGACACCTATGGTATAGAACAGGGGTAAGCAACCTGTGGTTCTCCAGCTGTTGCAGGACTACAGGTTCCATCATGCCTCTTTTGCAATGTCTCATGGGAAATGTAGTTCCCACAGCTTGCCTACCCCTGGTATAGAGGTTTGCTGGATCGTCACACTGATTGTGCAACTGCAGTGCAGGGGATCTCCCCCCCGCATGGGCTGCTAATGAGGCTGTGGTAGATATCAAGATGTTGAAAACCCAGAACTCAAGGGAGAGTCATATTCCCCAACCTGACCCATGCTCAGTGGGGGCTCAGAACAGTAAGAGTTGCTGCGGTGTTAGCCACTTGTATTTATTCCCTGCCAGCACAAACAATGTCCCTCCACACCCCACAGCAGTCTCATCCACCTGATCTTAGGGTGAAACATGAACACCTGGGATGCAAGGGTAGCCCTCCTGCATTACCCAATTTTGGGACTGTCAAGTTCTCAGCAGAAATTGGCATCCTACCTATTTATTTCAGCCAAACATGCTATAGCTCAAGCTTGGAGAACCCCTTCGGTTGTCTTCCAGGGGGTGAAGACCCAGATGAATGCTATGTTGATCAATGAACAGATGTCTAACATTCTTCATGATTCTCATCAGAGATTCCTTAAGGTTTGGGAACCTTGGATACGTTATTCCTTGCCATCCCTGCCTCCTACTAGTTATGGCCTCTTATAGTATACAGAGTGGAGCAGTGTACTGTACAGCAAGGAGTGGAGTGCAGCATACAGCACAGTGTACACAGTGCAGTTTACAAAGGGGGAGCTCAACATACAGAGTGGAGACTTGCAGTCAAGTATCCAACTGCAAGCAGAACAGAGTGGTGTACAGCTCAGTGTACAATGTGGAGTCTTGCAATGGCAAATGTACAGCTGTATGGAGAATAGAGTGGTATGCAGTACTGTAAACCGTGTGCAATATAGCATACAGCACCATAAACAGTGTGTAGTATAAGGGGATGCACATGTGTGCAGTGCTGTAAAATTTTGCACCCAGTGCCATCTTGAATTTTAATGAAGGAGATAAGTAAATGCTAAAAAAAAAAAAAAAAAAAAAACCCACCACCTTTGAGAGCCAAGGAGCAGAGTTGGGCTATTACAAATGTCAGTTCCTGTCCCTACCCTGCACTGCTAACAAGGGGCATTATGAATCTACAAACCATGGAGGAGACATCCCACAGACAACACAAAACACATCAAAACCAGAAAGTTTCTTTATTACACGTGCTACGTCAACCACACGTCTCCACACCGAGACTTTCCCCAGGCCATTAGGATGATCACAGAGAGACTACAGGACACAAGGAGGGAGACAGACACAGTACTTTGTTCTAAACCGTTTACGGGAAGGCGAGGATTTGTGAATGGGCAGGATTAACACTTGGCGTTGATGATTTCAATGAATTCTGGTTTCAGGGAAGCTCCACCCACGAGGAAGCCATCAATGTCGGGTTGGGAGGCCAGTTCCTTGCAGGTGCCTCCTGTGACGGAACCTGCCGAGAAGACAAAAAAAAGTTGAGGAGCAGCTGAATAAATAATATTGTAGAGACCGACAAGTGAAATGCTCAGGTATGAGGGTCAGCGTGGGGTTACTTTTTTTTGGAAAGTCAAAAAGACACCAGTCCGACCTGATGGGTTCCCCAACATACAAGGTCCTTCACAAAGTTTTGTTTTATTTAAATGTAACAAGGGAGTGGAAGAATCACTAGATCAGCCTCTCAATCTCTTCAACACAGCAGAATGCTTGAAATAACTTTTCCAATCTCAGGCAACCCCTACTAAAAATTATTATATCTACAGCTCATGATACATCAGTGTGATGGTCAGACTGCTCCTTATACTTGGTCATTGGGAAGAATGAGCCCCTTTTAGATAGAGAAAAAGATCAATGGTGTCAGTGGGAACTTACCTGGAGAGGAAGAAGTTGCTCATTGCTCAAAGAACCCCTAGCAACTTCTAGAGGAACCCTAGAGTTCCACGGAACCCTGGTTGAGAAACGCTACTTTAGACATTGGTCACCCACCCCAACCTATGTAGGCCTCTCATGGTCCACTCCTCTTCCCAGTTAGTCAGCAGTTGACACATAATAGAAAGCAAAGAAACAATAGAGGCAGCCATAATCTATACTAGGCTCTCATCCAGGGTTCCTCCAGAGGTTGCTAGAGGTTCCTTGAGCAAGGACAGATTGATCGCCCACCTACAAATGACTACAAAACGATACAAATGACTACAAAACGCCCACCTACAAATGACTACAAAACGATCGCCCACCTACAAATGACTACAAAACGATCGCCCACCTACAAATGACTACAAAACGATCGCCCACCTACAAATGACTACAAATGCAAAGGTTTAGAAAAAGTGGCTGGAAGGCACCCGGAAACCCAAGGATTCTGTGCGATTGCTTTGCATCTAAATATTTTAGGAAAGGCGTAGACCTAAAAAATCTGGACATTAGGTTGGCAGCTTCTACACACCATAGGACCTTCACAATCACTTTGGGTTGTGGTATGGATGTGTAATTAAGAACTGAAGTGCCACACTAATATTCAAGTCCAATAATAAAATGTTTGCAAAGCTGACACATTCTGGGGACTCTCTCCCCTCCCCCTTCACAGCGTGAAAGAACGATGCATGGTATCCATGTGTGTGGAGCAGCTTCTTACGGATTGTGTGCCAATTCACGCTAACATTATCCAACTATAAGCAGATTCCACCTACAATGTATCATTCGTTCAAACCCAAATGAAAGGGGCAGAGATGGAGCTCCCAAAACGTGTTGGCTCTGCAAACATTTTATTATTGGGCTTGAATATTATAGAGCGGTAGTAGAAGCTGCTAGACCGCATCCAACATGCCAATACTGACAAACTTGGGCCTGGACCTGAATATTATGGCGTGGTGCTTTAAAGTATAACTAAAGGATAGACTGAAGATGGATTAGTTTATAAGTGATCACTCAAATGGAGTCATTTTAGGATCAGTAAATCGCACCAGATGCATCCATAATGCATGTTTATTATTGAAGATTGATTGGAACCCCTGTCAGTTTTTAATGCCATCTGTGCCTCCATTAGGGAGATTCACCCTCTGTCTGTCCCATTCACCATTATCATTGAAAGTAAAAGAAATTCCCAAATTTTGGGTTGTCCCGAGAAAAGGAATGAGGAGGAGAAATCTTCCAATAAGGACACTAGTTCTGGTGACCTGGGGGTCCCCAAGAGATTCCCTTAACTTGCAGGGATTTCCTCTCACTTCTTGTTTTGGCTATGGGATAGGAAGTGAAGTCTCCCAAATGGGACAGATGGCAAAAATAAACCTTACAGGGGTTATAACCCTCCCTTACTCTATTTAAACTGGAAAAAATGTTTTGCCTATAAGGTACCTTAATTCTCAAATCACTCATAGAATGTATGGGGGCACCAACCACTAATGTAAGGGGGACCCTTTTCTGCTGACGACTAGCATAAGGGAACACTACAGTTTTCAGCGATCCTTTTCTGGCCATTCTTCATTAATTGTAATCGTGGTTGCCAAGGCAGCGTTAAGTTTAAATAAAAAAAAAAATAAAAAATTTTTATTTATTTTTTTATTTTTAAAAAAGGGGGTCAAATGTTCTAGGTATGCCATATTTGTATTTAAAACTCCCGTCAGCAGATTATGAGATTTTCCCATGAAATGTACATACAGGAGTTTATTTACTTTTACTGGAGAGCGCAAAATCTGGTGCAGCTGTGCACGGGAGCCAATCAGCTTCTAACGTCAACTTCTAAATTGAGAAAAAAACCTGGAAGCGGATTGGTTTTCTATGCAGAGCTGCAACAAATTTTGCACCCTCCAGTTTTGGTACATCATCCCCATAGTGTTTAGCAAGGGTTGCCTAAGAGTTCAAAATTTAAAGGATTTCTCCAAGGTAAGGCCAAGCCTGGTCTGTAGCTGTAAATCACCTGGGGAGCGGTCTCTGCATATGTGTCACTGACACCACTGTGTGCTTTGCTTATTATGATCTAGTCAGGCTGTACTTACTGACGCCAAGTTTGTAGGTAACCTATCCCCCCCCCCCCCCCCCACATTTTTAATATGGTGCTGAGGATTTCACCAACCTACCTGGCACTTTTGGAGGATATAACCATTGGTCTGCACCCCAACCAGCCATTGCTATTACTCCACAGCCCTACAGGCTTCCATGCCTGCCAGTCGACTGGTCCCCCAAAGCTGCTCTTCTGCAGTCAAGTGGCTGCCCCCAGTGGTGTATTTAGGTTTTGTGCTGCCCTAGGCAACACAAAGATCTGCCCCCACGGACACGAACACCCCCCCTTCCCCTTCCCACGGAGAGAGCCTGACATTGACCAACAACCTGGGAAAGCCTTCCCCCAACCCCCTCCTCAGCAATAGAGAGACACTCATCTTCACAGCTCTGGACATTACCCAGAATGAGTGTCAGGCTCTACATACACCATCAAGCAGACCCCAGCCTCTCTCAGATCTCATCTGGTTCCCCCATGGTGCACGTGTCCCTTCTTCCATACCTTCTTCTGGGGGGAGGTGCTTACCCCCTGAAAAATGCCGCCCTAGGCAAGTGCCTTGTGGAAAATATGTCCTTGGCTGCCCCCTGCATTGCTGGTAGTCATTCTAATGGCCTGCCCACATGCCAGGGTGAAAAAGCATTGCACCTAGTGTCATGGGTTTGTAATGGAGGGCAAGTATGACCCTCTATAACATCCCCCTTAGACCAGGGGTAGGACACCTGCAGCACTTCAGCTGTTGGAGAAGTACAAGTCCCATCAGGCACAGCAAGACTTTTCAGAGGCATGATGGGATACATCGGTCACCACAGCTTGAGTGCCAAGGGCTACCTATACTTGCATTGACTAAAGATGCAGAATATTCTCTATATGCAAGAGGCCCATCACTATATTTTTGCAGCAGAGCTAGAGTTGGGCTTCAAAGAACTCATGTATTACATGGATAGAGGTCTCCCCCCGACACTACTAGCAGTGAGTCCAGAAACCAAGAACTCAAGAGATCTCCCAATTGGCCTGGAAAAAATTTGGGACAACCCACTACAGCTGGATATACACCACAAGCAGGTGAAAGTTGTATGAACACTCCAAGGGAGTAACCATCTTTCACCACTGAAGGGATATGTGCATTCATACAGAGGTCTACCATTGGTAAGCTAGCAGCACCTGGGGAACAAGAGTATCATCTGGGCTGTATGGTCTAACCCCAGAGAGGTTTCCCAACTACAGAGGCCCAGAGGTTGGAAGGTGTACAGATGCCTAAATCCAGCAAGTCCATGGGAATTCTGAGCTGCTCTGCTTAGCTTGCTGCATTGTCAACTGCTCCAGTCCAGCTATAAAGGTCTGCAAAACGTGGTCGTACCCCACACTAGTCACCGAAAGACTTTACCTCCATAGATGATCCGAACTGACTGTGCGACTTGGTCAGACACGTGGGCTTTCAACCATTCCCGGAGCTTGGCGTGCACCTCCTGAGCCTGGAAGGAGATATAGAACTGGTAAGATTGCAAAACTCAAAACATCTGTAAGAATCAGAATCTCAAATGTGGTTATGTAGAACTACATACTAGGCATTACCCCAGAAACAGAATTGTAAGAAAAAAAAAAAAATTGTCACAATGGACTCTGGGAGACAACACAGACTCTGGCATTTATATAGAGTCCTACTGAGGAAGTCCTGCCCCTTAGATGTAACACGTATAGGGGTGGAGCCACATGCTGATGGAGAGAAGACTTCATCATGCTTTATTTCCGGGATGGCTGGGCAGTGAGATCGGTGCGGGATACAGACAGTTTGTACGTGACAGCACTGTATTACAGGTTATTATACAACAGAGTTTTTTTTAGTCCTTAGATCTGTCATTTAATACACGCAGTGAGCACTATCCATTCCCTTTTCTATTTATACATGATATCTATACATGAGCAGTCTGTGGCATGACTTGAGGATCATTAAAGAGATTGGCTGCTCTTTTCTGCACCAGCTCAACCGAGGGTAGCAAGTGCCGTCTAACCTCTATTACTAAAGGTCAGTTACATAGTTAGTCTGGCTGAAAAGAAAAGTCCATCCAGTTCAACCCATAGTAAAAAAAAAAAAAAGTTACAATCCTACACCCACAGTTGATCCAGAGGAAGGCAAAAAAAAAAAAAAAAAAAAAAAAAAAAAAAAGAAAACCCAGCAAAGCACGATCCAATCTGCTCCTGCAGGGAAAAAAAATTCCTTCCTGTTCCCCCTAGAGCAGTGGTTCTTAACCTTCCTAATGCGTGACCCTTTAATACAGTTCCTCATGTTGTGGTGACCCCCCAACCATAAAATTGTTTACCCAGTAATTATAATTCATGAGTGTCCTTTTACCTCCAATACTGCCGCTTTCAACACAGTAGCAGCTTTTAAACAGAGTAGCTGCTTTCTACACAGTAGCTGCTCTTTACACATTGGAAATATGTGTTTTCTGATGGTCTTAGGGGACCCCTGTGAAAGGGTCGTTTGACCCCCAAAGGGGTCGCGACCCACAGGTTGAGAACCACTGCCCTAGAGGCAATCGGATATTCCCTGGATCAACTTTCCCTATAAATGTTATATCCAGTTATATTCTGTGTATCCAAGAAAGAATCCAGAACTTTCCTACAGCAATCCACTGAGCTGACCACAACCAACTCTTGAGGGAGTCTATTCCACATTCTCACAGCTCTTACTGTGGAAGAAACCTTTCCATGTTTGGAGATTAAATCTCTTTTCCTCCAGATGTAAAGAGCGCCCCCTTGTCCTCTGATGACCTCGGGGGGGAATAACTACACCGAGTTCACTATATGAACCACTGATGTATTTGTCATTTTTGGAGGTGAGTAGTTAGAGCTCCTAGTGGTTGCAGTACATTTTTTTTTTACACTTGGTATTTTTATGCACGAGGATTTGGAATGATCACCAATGGTTGAATATCACATTTCAGCTGTTGGACTTGATTGTTGGGACATTTATTCTACACATGTATGGAATTGATAAGTTATTTTACACAAGTGATGATTAAGGGGAGTGCCATTTTAGATTACAGTCCCCATCTTCCAGGCATGCATACTAGAAGAGCAGCTATTAACCTACAACCAGGTCTATGGAATTAAACCTTTCATGTTTCACATTACTGTCATACGCCTTTAAGTGTTCTTTATATTTTGTCTCTTCTCCTCCCTTTCCTTTAGTTCATGCTGTATAGATAGCCCCCACCCTTTTATTCATTTTCCTAGTAATGCATTTCAGCTTTAAGCCTCATGTAGTAGATCACATTATGATCTTTTTACCTATCTGATGTTCATTGTTGTAAGATTCTCTCAGTTTATGGAATAAACTTCACAAGATCTACAAGGTGTCGTCTGGATCAAGTCACTGCCTGTGTTATTCAACTAAGATTGGAGTTATCGCTATCTCATCACAACTAAGTTACAGAGATCACACTTTCAATGCTTAGATTGGAGAGAGAGAACAAAACCCATGCCAGCACAAAGAACCTGCCAACGCCATGCAGCTAGAGTCCTGACCAGAATTCCAACCAGGGTCCCTAGTGCTGCAAGGCAGGTATCAGCCCCAACATGGGCAACAATGCCACCGAAAACTCCAGGAGACCCTCCCCCAGTGATGAAAGGAACTAAATACTGTATAAGGCTGCCAGCAGTGGCGGGAGGTCAACGGAACCCCATCAGATTTAGGACACATTTTTACTATCTCCTAGATTATGAGGTTTGTTCAGTTGTGCAGATAGAGAACAAAATGAATACAAAACACACTGGATAACTGAAAGACTAGTATATAGTTACATAGTTGGTCTGGCGGAAAAAAAAAAAAAAAAAAAAAAAAAAAAAAAAAAAAAAAAAAAAAAAGGAAAGACAAAAAGTCCATCCAGTTCAACCATTGAATTAAAAAAAAAAAAAAAAAAAAAAAAAAAGTTAATCCTACACCCACAGTTGATCCAGAGGAAGGCAAAAAAACCAGCAAAGCATGATCCAATTTGCTCCTGCAGGGGAAAAAAAAAAAAAAAATTCCTTTCTGATCCCCCGAGAGGCAATCAGATATTCCCTGGATCAACTTTACCTATAAAAGTTATATAGAATTTCCCTCATTAGATTGCTACACAAGTGGTGGAGAATGCGGGAACCGCATTAAAATCAGCCCCACTTGTAGAAGACCCAAAAAGGAAATTTCACAATTCTGTGTCTCAAACTGTACCCATATGTAGTATATACAAATGTAGATGGTAAACAGCCAGTCTGAGCCAAGTGCGGAATTTTTGGCACCTCACCTGCTGGGGAGTGGCTGTCTTGCCTGTACCGATAGCCCAGACGGGTTCATAAGCCAGAACAACCTTGCTCCAGTCCTTTACGTTGTCTGTAAAAAGAAAAGGGAATTCGAATTATTAAAAAATAAATAAAAAAAAAAATCACAAATCACAAAAAAGCAAAAAAAAAAAAAAAAAATACATAGATCACAAAAAAACAAAAATCACTTCACCCTCCAAATGAAAATACATCTTCCTCTTTTCAGTTGGTTCTTTTGTGCAGTAATAACCTACTTAGAAGCCCAGCAGATCCAACGTTGCCCTCATCTCTTGCACCACTGGTCTACTAGAGGTCCTGTCTCAAGCCACCATTTTCCTATATGTCAAGCCCTGATATAAGGGGCAGAGAGCCCCGAAACATGTCGCCTTTGCAAACATTTTATTATTGGACTTTATTACAGTGTGGCACTCCAATTCTTAGATCACTCATCCTTACCAAAACCTAAGGTGATTGTGGAGGCCCTATGGTGCTCATTTTCATGCTGTTCCATGAAGGGAGGATAGTAATGCTTTCTGGGGTGCCACAATTTAGAATGCATTACTTTCCACAATTTACAGACAGGACACCAGATACCCTGTTTGCACATGTGAGATCTGGTGCTGCCTTGGTTTTCATGAATGGAAAGTAATGCCTCCTGGGATGTGGTGGAACATTCTAGCCCAAAATGAGGAAATTGGTATATTTAGGAAAAAAGAAAAAAAACCCTAAAAACGGTCTGCTTTCCTAAAAAGTGGAGGGGAAAAACAGGACAGGTGAATGTTTAACTTTTCAGACCAGGGGCGGACTGAACATTTGGAAACTCGGGCACTGCCCGAGGGCCCGGGGTCAGTAAGGGGCCCCATGAGATGCCCCTGGTATCTTTTTCATAGGCTTTTTTGAGTTTGGGCAAGGACACAGGGGCCCCATGATCCCCTATTGCCCAGGGGCCCCATGAGTTGTCAGTCCACCCGTTTCAGACAATTGGGAGCAGGGCATGAAAGATGGGGGCATGAAAGATGGGGGCATGAAAGATGGGAATCCATCAGGTTTTTCTGTTTGCTATTCATGAGGTCAGAGGTTTCACAAATCTTCACTACATGACTCAGGTTGCCATTAAAGCAAAGGGATCTTGTGGTTCTATAAATCTTTCCTCTACTGTAGCAAGACATAATAATTAAGCATTTTTCTTTTTCAGGCAATAAAATATTCATATACATTTATTTTTTCAAGTTATATTCCATCAGCAGGAGGGCTCTTGTCTCCTGTTTACATTTTCCAGGCTCTTTGGCTCCCTTGTTAGCATGAAGTTTACACGTACAATCGAAGGTGTCTGTAGTAACTCCTACCCTTCTAGGAGATCCTATCCTTGACACTTGGACTTTGTCTGCAACCTTGCTCCTGGCTTGTGCCTCAAGGTATCAAAACCAGAAACTGACAATTTACATTTCTTAGAAGGGGTTAGGAATGGCAGTCTGTTTCTCTCAGAACAGGTTTTCGATAAATGTTAGACAATGATTGCCAATTGTGTTTTCCAGTGAAGACTATACCAAGCCAGGGTGTCGATGGCCCAGCAAAGCTTTTATCAACCAAGGTGAACCTTTGAGTTCATGTAGAGTTGCTGAGGGTTTCTTGAGCTGTGACCAATTGACCTCCCATCAGATGGTACCTGGTTAGTTCCAGGGCTAATGCCACTTGGAAGAGCCAGTGGCATAACACAGTTGTACCATACAAGGTTGTCTGTGTTGGGTCTTTTACAACCTTGCATGGTACAACTGTGTCATGCCACTGGCTCTTCCAAGTGCCATTGGCCCCAGAACAAAGTACCATCGGATGGGAGGTCAGTCACAGCTCAAGGAAACAAGGCAACCTTTGGAGAGGTACCCTGGGGTTCAACAGAGCCCTGGTTGAGAATGTCTGTCTGTGTTGGGTCTTTTACAGACAGACATTCTCAACCAGGGTTCTGTTGAACCCCAGGGTACCTCTCCAAAGGTTGCCTTGTTTCCTTGAGCTGTGACTGACCTCCCATCCGGATGGTACTTTGTTCTGGGGCCAACGGCACTTGGAAGAGCCAGTGGCATGACAGGTGTACCATGCAAGGTTGTAAAAGACCCAACACAGACAGACATTCTCAACCAGGGCTCTGTTGAACCCCAGGGTACCTCTTCAGAGGGTGCCTTGTTTCTGTGAGCCATGGATGTGACTGACCTCACATCCGATGGTACTTTGTTCTGGGGCCAACGGCACTTGGAAGAATCGGTGGCATGATATTATACCATGCCAGGACGTAGAAGGCCTTACAGCAGCCCTTCTCAACCAGGGCTCAGTGGAAACTTTGGTTTCTCCAAGGTTTCTGGGGGTTCCTTGAGCAGATTGACCCATCTGATGCCTAGATAGTTCCAGGGCCAATTTCACTTGGAAGATCCACTGGGATGACAGATCTTTATCTGTCTGATGGCATTCTTCCCAATGACCACCAATATAAAAAAGGGACACTTTTAGCAGGGGTACCTTACATTTCCTTAAGGGTTCCTCTCAAAAGAGGGGGGGGGGGGTGACTGTACAAACATAACACAATTACAGACCAAGTAAAAAAAAAAAATAATTAAACCCACCTGCAATAAACTTTGTCTGCTCAGCCACAATTTTGTCTGTGATTCCTGCTTCCCGCTGGTCCAGCTTCTCCCCGATACAAGCGATGACCCCCACACCCTCTGATAGAGCATGTGCCACCTTCTGGCCAATCAGCTGTACAGACAAGACGAGCAGATGTTTGACACCATTGAACACTCAAAGTTGGGGCTGTTTCAGTTTTGAAAATTAAGCAACCAGCCAATGCCTATGGGAAAGGACGTCCACCAGTGGGAGGAAAGAGATGCAGCCTTTCCAAAGGAATAAAGATTGTGGAGCAGCCGGGGTGGACTGGATGACTCTCAGTGGGGAATAAACCTATCACTGCAGCCATCTTCCTGATGCAGATAAAAATACATCAACTATTTACCACTTCAATCCACTACACTTTCACCCCCCTGCCTGTCCAGCAGGATTTACAGATTTCAGCACTGTCACACTTTGAATGACAGTTACTCAGACATGCAACACTGCAGTTAAAATTTACACATTTTTTTCCCCAGACAGAGCTCTCTTGGTGGTATTTATTGACTATTGGATTAAATAAAGTTTTAATCGTGAAAATTTGGAAGGAAAAAAAAAAAAAAAAAAAAAAAAAAACATTTTAGTTTGTTATAAAATTTTGCAAATCTTCATAAATTTAGGCGGCCAAACTGTATCCTGCTAGTCCTTAGGGTGTCCTACAGCAACAACACTGGGTCCGGTGAGTGTGTGTTGTCACCCTAGGACAGGAAGTGTTCCTGTACCAGGTGATAAGGTGGCCTGAAAAAGGAGAAAACCAATGTAGCCACCTGGATCAGGAAAGCGCAATATGACAATTTTGTTTTTGGATTTAGATACCTTAACGACACAAAACAATGCTGATAAATACGATCTCGGCATCCAAACATCAAGGATCTCTGGACATTAAAGGTCAATCAACACAATGTGATCCAATATTGTGCTTAACCCAACTTAATCAAAATTAAAGTGTTGCTAAACCCCGGACCCCGCACCCACTATATCCGGTCCCCCCGGACCCCCCACCCACTATATCGGGACCCCCCACCCACTATATCCGGACCCCCCACCCACTATATCCGGACCCCCCCACCCACTATATCCGGACCCCCCCCACCCACTATATCCGGACCCCCCACCCACTATATCCGGTCCCCCGGACCCCGCACCCACTATATCCGGTCCCCCCGGACCCCGCACCCACTATATCCGGTCCCCCCGGACCCCGCACCCACTATATCCGGTCCCCCCGGACCCCGCACCCACTATATCCGGTCCCCCCCGGACCCCGCACCCACTATATCCGGTCCCCCCGGACCCCGCACCCACTATATCCGGTCCCCCCGGACCCCGCACCCACTATATCCGGTCCCCCCGGACCCCGCACCCACTATATCCGGTCCCCCCGGACCCCGCACCCACTATATCCGGTCCCCCCGGACCCCGCACCCACTATATCCGGTCCCCCCGGACCCCGCACCCACTATATCCGGTCCCCCCGGACCCCGCACCCACTATATCCGGTCCCCCCGGACCCCGCACCCACTATATCCGGTCCCCCCGGACCCCGCACCCACTATATCCGGTCCCCCCGGACCCCGCATTCACTATATCCGGTCCCCCCGGACCCCGCATTCACTATATCCGGTCCCCCGGACCCGCATTCACTATATCTGGTTTCCCACAGTACACACCGCATGGAAATTCAATTTTGGTAAATATAAACTCAAATACTCTCTGTATATAGCAGGATTGTGACTTCTATAAGTGTCTGGCAGAGCACTGATTAAACTTATAGGAGTTCTCATTCTCCTCTGACTGTCCTATGGGGCTGCATGACCGACTGATTGGCCATGTGTGGCTCACTCCCCCCCCCCCCCCCCCCCAAAATAAAAAAAAACACTAGCAATAACACGACAAACTGAGCATGTGCAGAACGACTCTAAGGGCTCTGTACTATCAGTTAATATATTGGGGACAGTGGAAGAAGAGGAGGATCAGAGAAGACCATATCAAACAGCCTTTTTTACACACTGCAGAGGATTAACCCCTTAGGTCCCACAGTGAGTATAACAAGCATGCTTTACTGCATCTACAGACTGATTGTACTGTTGTGAGTTTAGTAACACTTTAAAGGAAGGTGAGGAAGTAAAAAAACTCCTGACTGCAGCACTCACTGATAACACATATTGAAAGACAACTGAAAATAGTTTTGCGCTGCCAGGAAAACTTCTAATTCAATGTGGTGTATAACAAACAAATCCCAAAAGTGATATAAACTAAATATCAGAGTCCACCAAAAGTGTCCAAAATCTTCATGCACCAACCACCAAGTGATGATGTAATTCCGCTTACCGGATCCTTAGACCCCCCGCAGCTCAAAAGCTCCAAATCTGCATTTAAAAGATGACAAATCCTGGATGGGTAATGGATGGATGGCTCCAGCTCTCTTCCTCTCAGCTCTGCATACCTCTCTCTCATGAATGGTATCCCCCAAAAAATGGTCACTGGATCACTTCTCACATACAGGACAGCAAAAGCACATACCAAGGAAAGAGCAATGAAACACCATAGTTAAGTAGCATTTAAAAACAATAAACCAAGTGGGTAAACCCTATGAGACGGGAGTCACTTTGGGTGAGGGCCCATAGAACACAGCTCACTTTGGAGAGATAGGGAGACCCCTGTCTCAGCCCCCCATATCCCTCTTATGTGTAAGTCACCCTGTGCCTGTTAGGGGTACAGGGTGATCTGTCCTAATATTGGGGTTGTGGATTGTTTGGCATTATGTGGTTGCATCCCATTGTTCTATTGTGTGTCTGGCTTGGGAGCAAACTATTATGGGATGTAGGTGTTGTGGTGTATTGGCTTGGTGGGGGGGGGGGGGTCTCCAGCAGCCCTCCCCCCTGATGGGACTGTGTTGGTGTGTCTCTTGTTACTAAATGTAGATTGCCCTGCCCTGGGTCATTGTGCAGAGTGGGGAGGGAGATTGTTCCCTTGAATGTATATATTTATCGGTGTTCAAATAAATGAGTTTACCTTCTGGATTACGTCAAGACTGGTGGTGTCTAGTCTTGTATGGTCGGCTGTGGTGTCTGGTCGGTGTTCAGACGGGGAAGCGGTATTCTAACGGAAGTACCCAAGCGCAGACTGGGGTCGGTTCTGTTACACCCTATAAAAGCATAACATACAGCACCGCCAACTCTCCACGCAGGTTTGAGGTCACTGCTAAAAACTTTGGGCAGAGTTTAGCGGTGACATCATCATGCTTGCCGAGTCAGCAGTGCTGTATGTTATGCTCGTTATTCTGTTCTGTGAGTACCCACTTGATTTAATAAATGTTTTTTTTTTTTCTTTAAACGGTAATTCACTATGGGATTTCCTTGCTCTTTCCTTGGTATGTGCTTTTGCTGCGGAGTCTGGTATAGGAGAAGCGATCCAGTGACCACTTATGGGGGGGGATGCCATGAGAGAGAGAGGCTTGCGGAGGTATGAGGAAGACAGCTGGAGTCATCCATCAATCCATCCATTCAGGATTTGTCATCTTTTAAATGCCAATTTGGACCTTTTGAGTTGCAGGGTCTAAGGATCTGGTAAGCAGAATTAGATCACTTGGTGGTTGGTGCATGAAGATTTTGGGGGCCTCCGATTCTGTGTTTATAGGACTTTGTGATTTGTTCGTTATACACTATATATTGAATTTGACGTTTTTCCTCGCAGCACAACACTTATTTCAATCAGTACCAAAAATTGCAACTTGTGAAGGTTTTTACACAGACTCTCCCCAGACCTAGTTGTATCCGGGTAAAGCGGACGATGTGCTCACCTCATCTGACTCCCCGAACACGTGTCTCCTCTCGGAATGTCCAAGAATCACCCAGGTAGCACCAACATCTTTGATCATAGCCGGGCTGTAGAAGAGAATGTAGGCAGGACACATTGTAACCAGCAATACTCAATGCAGGCAGGACAAGGTAAGCAGTCCTACTCCATGTTGGCAGGAAAATGTAAGCAGTGCTACTCCATGTAGGCAGGACACATTGTAAACATCAATGCAGACAAGCCAAGGTAAGCAGTTCTACTTTATGTACAGTGCTGTTAAGAAAAATATGACGTGTTGCTTTTTGAGATCTTTAGCATGCTGCACTTTGTCAGACAGCTTCTACGCAAGTGATTTCTTGATTCAACAGGTCTGGTAGTAAATCAGGCCTGGGTGTGGCAAGTAAAATTTTTATCCGCTTTCCAAAAATGTAGTTATTCAGATTTAGCGAGGGGGGTCCAATAACTTTTTCAACATAGGGCCAGGCAGGTTTGGGCAGCTTTTTTCCCTTAATAAATGAAATCATTGTGTAAAAAACTACATTTTGTATTTACTCTGGTCATCTTTGTGTGCTAACATTTGTTGGATGATCTGAATTATTTAAGTGTGACAAACATGCAAAAGGAGAAAAAAACCCACAGGAAGGGGACAAATAAATAAATACTTTCACAGCACTGTAGGCAGGGCGCCGCCGCCAACCCTCCGCATAGGCAGGGCGCGCCGCCTCCCAAGGCAGGGCGCCGCCGCCAACCCCTCCGCATAGGCAGGGCGCAGTAAGCAGTTCTACTCCATGCAGACAGGACACATTAACAGATCATACCTGATCTCCCCGGTGAACGCTCCTTTTGCGACTTTGTAACAGTTCTGGGCGGCTACACCAATCTTGGCGTCCAACTTCTGTCGTGCAAAGTCCAAGTAGATGGAAGGAGCTCCGCAGACCACCTCTGGAGGGAAGACAGGACAAGGTGCTTCAGTAATTGTTCCCCCCCCCCCCCCCCAAGAAAAAAGTCACTCTGCCAAGTCAGAAAAGGACCAAAATTTTCCAAAAATTGTGCCCCCAAGAGAACCGGATTCATCCTCTCCCCATGAGATGTACAGAGAAGATGATAACCGGCAGACATTAGTAGGGGGTCAGAATGCTCCTCTGTGGAAAGGCACCTTCAAGTCGATTTAAACCGATCAAATGACATTTGCTGGAAGCACTGTGTGACAAACAATTGCCTTTTCCCCTAAACTACTGTTATCACCTCATTTTATGCATCCCAGAGCTGCTGATCTCCTTCAGCTTCCGTTCCTCTAAGACCTTTGAGGATACATTGTTTAGGTCCAGTAATTGGGCTTAGACCTACTAAAGTGAACCTGTGCTTTGCCCATGTAGCAGAAAATGGGTTTACCTCAATGCTGGTCCCCAGAGCTTACAATCACCTTCCCTTTTGCTGCCATAGAAGAGGAATTCCTGTGCAGGACACTTGCTGGAGCTTACACAAGGCTGAGAACCTTCTCCCTGCCCCCACACGGGCAATCACCAACGCCATCACATGGGAGAAAGGAGTAAAGCTGGCCACACACGGGTCAAATGCCAAAAGAATTTTCTTTCGAAAATCTTTTCTAAGAATTTTGGTTTGAATTTCGCACTATTAGTGGGTCACAAAAATGGCCGATTTTCAAGTGACCATCGAATTTGAGTGATTGGACATGTTGGAAATTTTTTGAAAAACGAACAAGTTTCGAATCAATGGGAGAATCGTGCAGGAAATCTAAACGAAAGAAATTAAGGTGAGCTGTGACCTGGAAAGAAAAGAAATTGGCCACAAAAAATTATTTTTTTCTGTAGCAACAGGAGGTGAAATGGAAGGCTTGGTTGGTCGAATTTCGAAATCAATAGTGGCGTCATCGGATTATAAAAACGCACAAAATTTCTGATTTTCTAAAGAAAACTTGTTCAGAATTTGCCCCATGTATGGCCTGAATTAGTCACATGCGCCTTCATACTGGGAAGTACTGGACATTTCATGACACTTTCCCCCCCTAGAGCAGAGGTAGGCAACCTCAGCTGTGCTGAAGACTACAAATCCCAGCATGCCTCTGCCTCTTAGTCTTGTCTGTGGTAGTCAGTCTTGCAAAGTCTTATGGGACTTGTAGTCCCGACAAGGTTTGCCTCCGCTTCCCTACTTACTGGAGTGATAGGAAGACTAGAAGGTTAACCCACTAGGAAGACTAGAAGGTTAACCCACTAGGAAGACTAGAAGGTTAACCCACTAGGAAGACTAGAAGGTTAACCCACTAGGAAGACTAGAAGGTTAACCCACTAGGAAGACTAGAAGGTTAACCCACTAGGAAGACTAGAAGGTTAACCCACTAGGAAGACTAGAAGGTTAACCCACTAGGAAGACTAGAAGGTTAACCCACTAGGAAGACTAGAAGGTTAACCCACTAGGAAGACTAGAAGGTTAACCCACTAGGAAGACTAGACGGTTAACCCACTAGGAAGACTAGACGGTTAACCCACTAGGAAGACTAGACGGTTAACCCACTAGGAAGACTAGAACGGTTAACCCACTAGGAAGACTAGACGGTTAACCCACTAGGAAGACTAGACGGTTAACCCACTAGGAAGACTAGACGGTTAACCCACTAGGAAGACTAGACGGTTAACCCACTAGGAAGACTAGACGGTTAACCCACTAGGAAGACTAGACGGTTAACCCACTAGGAAGACTAGACGGTTAACCCACTAGGAAGACTAGAAGGTTAACCCACGCAATTTAGAATGTCCCAAATACAGGTTTAAAATAGGCCTGCAAAACCAAACGAAACAAAGACCAACCCCCCCCTCCCCCAAAAAAAAAAAAAAAAAAAAGGAGCCAGAAAAACGCATCAACCACAACCTAGATGTGAACCTTGCCTTAGGGAACATGCACAAAATTGCTGAAGGGCAGCACATTTTGTGTGCCAGGAAATCAGGCAGACACAGCAGTGCCAATATTTGTTCAGGCTAGGTTCCCCCCTACCGGTGCGACTGCACGCACATCTCCATGCGTCATGTGAAGGGCAGCGCATTCATTTCAATTGGTTGCTGTAAGCATGAGAAATGTGTAAAAGTCTGGGCAGTACAGTGGCTGAATGGTTAGCACTTCCGCCTGGCAGTACTCGGGTCGTTGGTTCGAATCCCAACCACAGCACCACCTGCCTGGAGTTTGCATGTCCTCCCTGTGCCTGCGTGGGTTTCCTCCAGGTACTCTGGTTTCCTCCCACTCTCCAAAGACATCCTGGTAGGTTAATTGTCTCCTGTCTAAATTGTCCCTAGTATGTGTATGTATGAATGTGAGTTAGGGACCTTAGATTGTACGCCCCTTGAGGGTTAGGGACCTTAGATTGTACGCCCCTTGAGGTTAGGGACCTTAGATTGTACGCCCCTTGAGGGTTAGGGACCTTAGATTGTACGCCCCTTGAGGGTTAGGGACCTTAGATTGTACGCCCCTTGAGGGTTAGGGACCTTAGATTGTACGCCCCTGAGGGTTAGGGACCTTAGATTGTACGCCCCTTGAGGGTTAGGGACCTTAGATTGTACGCCCCTTGAGGGTTAGGGACCTTAGATTGTACGCCCCTTGAGGGTTAGGGACTGATGTGATGTACAATATATATGTAAAGCTCTGCGTAAATTGATGGTGCTATACAAGTCCCTGAAATAAAAAGTCCCTGACCCTTTTCCAAAATCGTACCACAAACTCTCATGGGTGTGAAAACGCATGCATTACTAGATGTGGGGGGGAGCCATGAACCGCCAATGGCACCACCACGCACAGCCAATGGCACCACCACGCACCTGCTAAAAAGGCATCGAGTTTCTGGGCGTTGGGAAAATGAGAAATTGCGTGTGTTCCTGACATGCAGAGATGTGAACCTAACCTAATGGCACCCCCACGCATCTAGTAACGCATGCTCCTCCATGCGCACCAGACCCCAAGGTGCTACAGCCATTGGGTTTGGTGCGATGCAATTTTGGAAGAAGGTCAGGGACTCCTCAGAGCAACCCACTGAAATGAATGTGTTGCCCTACATGGGACACGGGTCGCACCTGCAGGTATGAACTGTTCTTACATAGGGTCGGGCTGGTCGTCACGGGAAGAGTTTCTCCTCTTTTGGCTACCAAATCAGTTTTAAGGACCGGATAGCAGTCTACTCCGATGAACAGCTCTGACCTTTGGCTTTCCAGCTGTTGTGGTGCCAAGTGCACCATCCTGGGAAACCACCAGTTTACAGACACCCTCTGTGACCCCAAAATTCTGCTGGGAAGGACACGGGGTAATACGAGGTGGGAAAATGTGCAATGAGGACAGCAGCTGCCAGCTGACCTCTACGAGGAGCCCGATTACATTGCATGACATTAGGACTGTAATGAATCCAGGACTGCAGAGCAGAAGGAGCGGGTCCAGGAGATGGCAAGTTCCAAGAAGAATTTCATTTTCTTTCCCCATAAAACCCAACTATAGCCAAAGCCATGAAATGTGAAGGTGGATCACACCAACGTCATGGCTGATCCCACTAGGGTGGCTTTTCTGGTTCTGGATCTTTGGATTTATTCCCATCAGGAGCCATGTGCATGGAGTTTGTTCTGCATATTTTGCAGGTTTCCTCCCTCAGAGGCGCTTCTTTGTGAGGCCTTAGACAAAACTTGGAGGCCCCACTCACACCCATAATAGGAAAAATAATTTGAGCGGCAATAAAAGTTAACTGGGGGATGGGTAAGGCAACCATTGGTGGTTCTTCCCTATCCCCACCACTGCCACTGACTACATCTCTTCTTCCCTACATCACTACTGCCATTGAAGTCACCCCTATCCCAACAACCAATGTCATCCCTAATCCCCCCCACCCCCCATTACCCCCCCCCCCCCATCACCACCAGTATCATCTCCATTTCTACCCCACCAACCACCCCACCATCACCCCTGTCCTTTTCCCCTTCATCACCACTGCCATGGAAGTCACCCCTATCCCCACCACCTAAATGTTACCCCCCCCCCCCCCCCCCCCCACCACCCAATCACCACCCAAAAATCCACTTCAAAAAAAATCTAAATTTCCCTTCCCCTTTTCCCCCCCCATCACCAAAGGGAATTCAGTCCAATAGGAAGCGACAGGGCAGTACTCACATACTGGGCCTGGGCCCCCTTGGGTCAGCATTGGTCCAGGGTCCAGGCAGAGGTTCGTGTATCCCATGTCTTCCTGTACATTAATACGAGTGTCCGCATTCACCCTGCAGAAATGGAGCCCCTACCCCACTGCATCACAGCCGTCTCCAAAAACACGGGCCAACGTCAGGGCGGTTCACCTTCATGGAGTCCCCAGAGAACACGGTAACAGTTCATATGCAATCCCCATGTGTGGGGCAGGGAAACCACTTTTCCATATACAATCTGTGGGATGGGGGGGGGGGGGGTCCATTTCATACACAACCTCCATAACCCCCATGTGGTGGGGGTGGGCTTCACAGTCACTTCTCATATACAAGGCTCATGAGGGGTGGGGTAATTTTTTTTTTTAAATACACCCTCTAGAGAGGGTTCCTTTATCTTCCCTGACAGGTTACTTGTCGTATACAATACCCAATGGGGAAGGATGGGGGGAGGGGGGAGCACTTTTTATATGCAATCCACATTGGGGGGGCACTTTATACACAATCCCTTTGGGGGGGGGGGGTGACCCGTTTTATATTCAATCAATCGGCACAGCGGTGGGTGGGGGGGGATTGGGTGACTTTTCATATACCACCCCAAAGAGGGTTAACTGTTTATATGCAGTCCCCCCCCCCATGGGGACTGTATATAAAGGGTGACCCTCTACTGGGATTGTATATGATGCAAACCCCCCCCCCCCCATGGGGA